CGTCTGACACTAATGACACCAGGAATGTTCTACCCTCCACTCCGGGCAGTGGGAGCCAGAAAAATCCAGACAAACAACACAAAGGGCGAAGGACATGCAGACAAAGAAAATATGGTGAGCCGCCAGGAGGCAGCTGGTTCAGGTGGCAGAGCAGGCTGAGGGTCATCAAAGATACACACAGGGAAGGAGGGGAGCTGCGGTCTGACCCTCCTGAGTCCTGCAGCCAAGAGCAGGACAAAGGATGTCACTTTCCCAGGCTCCGAGGTCTTCAGGTTCATGAGGAGACAGAAAGACAGAGTTTGGCATTTCTTTTTTTTTTTTCTTACTGTTTTTAGATTTATTTGTTTTATTTGTATGTGCATAAGTGTTTTTCCTTCCTGTATGTATACTTCGCACGTGTCCTGGTGCCTGCAGAGATCAGAAGAGAGCAGGAGATGCTGTAGTTACAGATGGTTGTGAGCAACTGTGTGGGTGCAGGGATCCAAATCCAGGTTCTCTGCTGGAGCAGCGAATGCTCCTAACCCCTGAGTCATCCCCAGGCCCTAGAGTTTGACATCCCTAACTCAAGGCTTCCATCTGCCTGAGGGAAACAAGAGGCTATCACACTGATACCTGAGCTCCTGGGGGAGTTGCCTTACTTGCCAGGGTTCTGGAACCTTGATACCGTCCTAAGATCCTCGAAGGAAAGAATGGCCCAAGCAGGAGTCACCTTATGGCCCTCTAGGGAGCCAAGAGGGCTGCAACTCACTCAGAGCACCCATGTTCATTTGCGCTTCCCAGAGTGATGTTCTCCCAATGGCTTGCTGGTGCCTCTTTCACCTCATTCAAGTCTCTGCTCAATGCCTGGAGCTTTAAAAAGGTCTTTTCTGGCCATCCTTCATCACCATCATCATCATCACCATCATCATCATCATCATCATCACCATCATCATCATCATCCTATTACCCTGTCCCTCTGCTTCCTTATTCTATTTCATGAAGAACTGTCTGATATTAAGACACAGACTGCCCAGCTGAGGAGGGGAAATATCATGGAGACAGGACCTTGCTTTTTTTATTAATCCAACACTGGGGCATCAATCACAGTGCTGGGAAACAGGCACCCAGTGAATGGTAAAACTGAAAGAAAATCAGTAAATCGAGGAACAGATCTGTGTAACGTCAGCAAGGCTGGTGGGCAAAAGCCTTGGTTCTGAGTTTGGATTTCTAAGATATTTATGGTGCTGACAGGCTTGAAGAAATTTTTCAAGACTTTTGCATTTACTATAAATAATTTTGTTTTTGAGCTTGGCTTTAAAAAAATTAAGAATATTAACTTACCACAAGGCCATATTTAACAATAATATGTTTTTTTTTATAGTGCTTTAGGGCCTTGTGAGATGGTTGCTTTTCTTAACTTCTTCCTTTAGCGTTGTAGCAGGGTGTGATGAAGAGAAAATGGACTTTGGAGTCAGCAAAATGTCTTCTTAAATCTTAGCTCAGATATTACTTTAGGACGTCAACCCTCAGTGCCTCAGTTTGGGCACCTGCGGAGTGGAAGTAAGCATCTTGCCCTTACAGCCCTTTACCCGGCCAGACAAGAGCAAATAGCAACTGCTGTCGTGATTGTTACTATTCATCTCCTCCTTCACCTGGCATCCCCAGAAGGTGACCCCTAGAAGCCTGTGCCAGCTCTGAGGTAAAATCTGTAAACGGGGCTGGAGAGATGGCTCAGCAGTTAATAGCTCTTGTTGCTCTTCCAGAGGACCTGACTTCCATTTCCAACACCCACATGGTGCAGCTTACAACCACCTGTGACTCTTGCCCTGCAGGATCTGACACCCAGTCTCCAAGGGAACTGCATGTCTAGGGTATACTGACATCTAAGTAAATAAGAAAATCTATAAAACACAGGAGGCTAAGCCAATATAACCAGGGGGTGCCTATTTGCCACCAGGAGCAGCAGCAGATGACTGACCATAAAAGGCAAAACACCCCAAAAGCAAGTCTATTAAAGTCAGTTCTCCAGGCTCACTAGAAATATTTAATCATTTGGTTTAGAATGTCTGATCTCCAGCCACCTGCACATGAAAATCACCATAAGAAGGTTTTAATAGAGCAGATATCCAGGCCTAACTCTCTATGTAAAGAGTACAGTTCACTTCACCTGGGCACGTAATGCCCTAGATGTGAGTAGCTCTCAGTCAAGATCAGGAGTGGGTACTACCCAAGGACAAGCCTGTGGCTGCCTAATTGCAATGGTGTGTCTGAGGCTTCTTCAGAGAATTTACTGTTTTCAAAGAGACATTTCTGGCCAGGCACAGCGGCACACACTGGAAATCTTAACACTTAAGAGGAACATGAATTAGAGGCTAGCCTAAGCTACACAGTAAACTCCAAACCAGCCTGGGTTTATGGCAAGACCTCTTGAAAAAGGGGGGGGAGGTGGAGGAGGAACTGTAGGTTCCAGATCCTCATCAGTGTGTAAGTCACCTGAATGTGACTCTAAAGCTTTCTGAGGTGTTGGAGAAAGTGACGGGTGGGAGAAGAGGACCATGGCGGCTAGTGCCAGCAGCGGCGTGAATCCCAAAGGCTGACTCTCCCTACATCACAAGATCCTTCACTTCCCAGAATTTATGCTTTCGGTTCAGTTTTGTGAAAATCTAAGCAGAACTGCCTGGGCTTTTCACCAGGAGTGCTGACATTCATGGATAGCCATTGCTTTTCAGGTACACACTTGTCCCGTTCTTGTGTCCGAAAGGAGCACAGGAAGGAGGGCTTTGGGCTGGGGAGGACCCTCAGGTAGGTATCAGTGTCAAGTTGGGACGCAGCCACACAAACAACCAAGTAGATGGTAGAGGACTGTTGTTGACCCCACCCATCCAGGGCAGCCACCATCCAGGAAATCCTGTTTGCATTCATGGGAGGACCCTGAGCTAGTGAATTTACCGGAGGGAATAAACATGGTCACGTGACTTTTCAGGGAGAAAGAATGTTCTGGAATGTAGATGTAAATACTGTATATCTGCCCTGTTGGAAATGTTCCTAGTGGGCAGGATGGTGTGTCTGGAGTTAGAATCACACAAATTAACACTAGCCATTCCTCCAGGATGCTTGTTTTCATCACAGAACATTTGAGAATTAAAAACAAAAACCCAGGAAACTTGAGGCAATGTCTCTATGTCATGATAGACAAGACTCCATATTAGACTTCACAAGTGACTTTTAAATTTAATTTTAGTTTAGTTTAGTTTTTGATGCAAGGTCTCTTGAATCCCAGACAAAACTCAGACTCACTATGTATTTGAAACTGGTATTGAACTCACGATCCACCTGCCTCCACTGCCCAGGTGGCATGATGGCAGTCGTATGTCACCACATCCAACTGAAAACCTGTCTTGTTCTGCTTGTCTAAGGAGGAAATACGCCATCAAATTCATACCTAAAATACCTTCACAGGTGTTCTTTAAAAATAACGAGTTTGAGGCCAGCCTGGTCTCCAAAGGGAGTTCCAGGAAAGTCAAAAAGCTACACAGAGAAACCCTGTCTTCAAAAAAAAAAAAAAAAAAAAAAAAAAAAAAAAAGAAAGAAAGAAAAAGAAAAAACGGGTTCATTGAAGCAAACAGAATGATGTCAAAGAGAAATAATTTCCAACAAGGTTATAGCCTGAGATTAATGTACTTCATACCTCCAAAGGTACTTCATACCTCCAAAGGTACTTCATACCTCCAAAGGTACTTCATACCTCCAAAGGTACTTCATACCTCCAAAGAAACGTGCATTCTAGCTCCCAGCAGTAGATATTTAACCACTGGGGTTTTCTATACTTAACTTTCCTAGTGTTTCCCAGCAATGGTCCTTGGGATGCTTAAAACAAACCTTAGCATTTCATAGGAAAACAATTGTCTTTAGAAAGAAGACACAGAGTTCTACCTACATATTAAAATAGAGATCATGTTACCTGATTTCATTTAAATTTTAAAGGAATGGCTTTACAAGTATTCATTAATATTTTTAACCTGTTTAAAATATTCTCCATACTTCTGTGTGAAAAACAACCTTGTCCTTCAAACTTTTTCATGAGGTAGTAACTGAGCCCATGCCTTTGGCCTTAATTGGGTATTCCAATAGTATTTTCCAGCCAGGGCTAGAGCAATGATTAGCCCAGTGATAGAGAAGTGAATGTATGACTCGAAGTAGGGGATAGGCTTAGTGAGAAGTGCTTGGGCACATGTTTGTTACATGATGAGCTCCGGGACAGATGAGTGGGGTCATCAGAAGGGAAGGAACCAGTTCCTGTCACAGGAATTTACAATTGGTGGTCAAAACACGATGTTACATGGGTGTGTGTGTGTGTGTGTGTGTGTGTGTGTGTGTGTGTGTGTGTGTTTGCAGTAGATTTATTTGGAGAGTCCGCATTCAACCTGGAGACACTTTTGAAAATCAACCAAGAACTGGGAATCTTTTGCATTTCACTTTTCAAGTGGCCAAACTTCTGTTGACCACCATTCAAGTTCAGGATATTGGGGATATGAAGCAACCATAGAGAGTGCACTGTGTGCCTGTGTACAAGCTAAGGCCAAAGGACGTTAATGGGGGGGGGGAGTGTTCTAGGAGGTTTTCAAGCATGCATGCATGCCTGTTCAGCTCTTAGAGTGTATGCAAACAACACGATGATATAAAGACAGCAAGCCATTCCTATGGGTGGAGATCCGAACGCTTATTGACTGCACAGGTGTAAGAGCCTCCCTTCCAGGTCATTACTACCAGTCCTGCTCCAGCTCCATTTTGCTCTTCACACACGGCCTTTGGCCTTGGACATCAAGGTTGAGGGTAATAGTCAGGAGAGAGTAGAGTAGATAAACATTTTTTCTTTTCCTAAAAGGGCCCATTAGTAATTCTTATGGGCTGACATGCCCAGTATCTCCGTGAATGTGTCACTGGCTTTCCTTGTTTTGGTGTCCACCAGGATCTCTCTCCCGTCTCTGCAAACGCTCAGTCTTCATGCACTTTCATTTCAGTTGCGGAGGGTGGCCCCGTGGAGGAAGAATACACTGTGGATATTGAGATCAGTCTTGAAGACATCTCCTTCCTGGAGTCTGTCAAAGCTCTCTTGAACAGCCTCAGTCTTCCGATTCAAGGAAACAGCACTGACCCAGGCACTGACATCGTGAGCGTGGCAGTGACAACAGGTGAGCTTGGCAGTGGGTGACTGGGCATATCGGGAGAAAGGCCAACAATCAAATTAAACATGGGGGGGGGGGCAAGTGTAATAATGACTGTGTGATTTTAGCACCCCACACCTCCCAGAATGAACTTGCTAGCAGTGAATTTCCCAGCCAGTCATCACCTTATTTTAAATGATGGCCAGAGGTTTCCATGGTGGTTATCATCAAATGACCCTAAAGATGCCAGCAGACCCTTCCTGACAAATTACTGGATCCTTTCCCTCTGAACAATGTGTGGGTGCAATGGGGAGAGGCTCAGTGTTCATAAGCAGCAACTTCTTCTTTGAGGGGAGTGTCATAGGTCAGGAAATAGGAACCAGGCACATACCTGGATCGGAAGCAAGACATTAAGCAAAATTCTCCCAGATCATGACTTTGGGTTTGACAGCCGCCTACTAAACTAAGCCTTTTCTCCTTTGTCTCGGGGTACCATCCATCCCCAAAGACTTGGGGTCTCGTAGGTGACGCTGCCGCTTGTCCTATAAAAGCTCTGTAAATTGGAAAGCACCATGGTAACTTGGTGACTGTTCGATGGCTTTCCTTAGAGTAGCATCCTGTGGGCACCTATCTGCAGAGCATCTTCCAAAGACATCTCGGTGGTCCAACTGTAGAAACTGATTCAAGGGTCTCTGTTTTCAGAGCTTTTTTTTTTTCTTCCCTTTTGAATGTCTCCAGTGGGATCAGCGTCCCATTTGGGCTGTTCTTTAGATTGGAAATGGAAAGGGCCTTTGTTTACATTCTGCATTTGTGATTTGTTCGATGTAACAAATGACTCTTAGCACTATAGAACCACTGACATGTGCTATCTTGAGGTTTCTGGGGGTCTGGAATCTTGGAGTAGCAGCAGAGGTGGGTGGTTCTAGCTGAGGAAGCTCTGATCTGAAGGCCCCCACTGGACTGGAAAATTCACTTTCAAGTTCACCAGGTGGTTTTTGGAAGACCTCTGTCCCCAGGTAGTTATCGTTTAGAGACCTTAATTCTTTACCATTTGGGTCTCTCCCTGACAGGTCTTTGTGCCATGCAGCCAACTTCCCCAGAGGAAAAGAGAAGGAGGGAAGGAGAAAAGAGATGGGGGAGGGGGAGGGAGGAGAGAATATGCTAAATGATCTCATCACTTTTACCATGTTCTGTATGAGGGCACCACAAAAGGCTGCGAATTCCTAGGGGCAGAGATGCTCAGAGGTCATCTTGGAAGCTGGCTGCCCCTTATTCTGTATCAATGATTCTTATACTTCCTAATACTATAGGACCCTTTACTACAGTTCCTCATGTTGTGGTGACCCCCAAATGCCAAATTATTTTCATTGCTACTTCATAACTGTAATTTTGCTACTGTTATGAATTGTAGTGTAAATATTTTTTGGAGATAGAGATTTGTTGGGGAGTGGGAGTGGGGGTGTCATGACCAACAGGTTGAGAACCACTGCTCTACATCAAGGGAGCCACTCATCACTGACACCTAGTGGCCATGCAATATAAAACATGACTATCCAAAAAATGATTCAATAGTCTGTAGCCACTCAACAATCTCTCTCCTTCCAGATGCCCTCATCTAATGGTTCTGTGATGTATATATGCCTTCTTGAATCTCATGTGATTCTGTTGAACTTTCCAGAAGATCAGTGTGGAACTGAGCTAGGATTTCCTTCAAGTGTAGACATTTGCAATCTACAAATGTAAGGGCAGTGACCATCTTGTCTCTCCTCTCTCTTTTGGTTGATGGCAGTCTGCACACCTGCTGGAAATGACCTCTTGTGCTCCTGTGAGAAAGGCTATGTGTGGCCTCGGGAAAGGTGTCTCCACAGTGTCACTTGTCAAGAGCATGACAGTGCCCTGTCAGGCCACCACTGCAGTTGTCTGAAAGGACTTCCTCCCCAGGGACCTTTCTGCCAGCTCCCAGAAGGTATGCAATTGTTCTTTGAAGATATATTGAATGGGTATTCAACTTTACCTCAAGCAAATGTCTCCCTGTATTGTCTGTATTCAAATACCAAGGAGACATTTACATTTTGCCCTGTGTTTTTCAGCATATATTACCTTAAAAATCAGAGTCAGACTGAACATAGGATTTCAAGAAGACCTCAAGAACACATCCTCTGCCCTCTATAGGTCCTACAAGACTGACTTGGAAAGAGCGGTAGGTTTGGGCTGTTGCTTACCCAAGAAACTGCTTAGGGGGAACAAGCCAAGCCCATTCCCAGTGGACAGGGTACTTGCGCGTGTATAATCTAGGTGTAAGGATTTGAAGTTATGGAAATCCACCTGAGAAGGAGAATTAAGAAGTACTCAAATCAAACAGCATTCAGAGGACAGGGCCATCACCGTGGCCTGTAAATAGAATCTTTTCCCTGAGTAAAAATGATTCAGATAAGATTCGGTGGCTTCGCTTCACTAAAACCAATTCAGGAGCTAGGGAGCCTGGTCCAAAAGAGGTAGGTAGCTCATTCAGGCATTCACTCTAGCATTCTCTTGTCTTGTATAGCTCAGAACATTCTGCCTAGTGGATGGTACTACCCCCAAAATGGGCAGGGATTTCCCACATAGATAAGGATCCAACTCAAGGCTGAGCTCAAAGAGCTTCCAACTTCTCTGCCCTGGAGGTCACTAGGCACTCACTCTAGGGACAGTTTATAGTAAAAACAGAGAAGACTCTGCAAGTGTTAACTTTCTCCCAGATGCACTTTGTACAGTGTTTGATGTTAGATTAAGCCGTTTAAAGGTAAATGCTTTGCTTGAACTCACTCATTTCAAACACTGCTTCCTCACTGGTGTGGTGAAACTACTACACATGGGCTGAGATAATAACTTCCCATAGCTCCTGGTGCAGACAGACCCCCTGCCTCAGGACAGGAGAAGTCCCTGCTGATCCCAGTATGCCACACGAAAATGGTGACTTTTCCATGGTGTCTTGATGGAATATTGATTCTACAGAGCCCTGGGACACCTGATTGACATCTCTGACATATGATGATTGTACATAGCAGACCAGTCACTGAAATCTGTGCTTGTAAGGAAAGGTGGATTCCATAGTACCCTTGGGTGCTACTCACCCAAGTACTAGGCCTGCTACACATGTAGACTTCTTGGTGGCCTACCTTTATTCCTGCGGCTGTGATAAAGCACTCTGGCACAAAGCAATTTAAGGAAGGGTTTACCTGGGTTAAAATTGCAGGGCATAGTCTGTGATTTGGGGAAAGTAAAGCAGCTAGTTATATCATAACCACAGTGAAACGAGGAATGAATGCACCCTGCTGCCTGCTTCTTGCTGCTAGCTTTCACCTAGCTTTCATCGGTCTCACATAGCTCTGGGCCCTCTGCCTGTGGAATGGTGCCACCCACAGTGGGCTGGGTCTCCCCCTGTCCAGTACCAATCAAGACAATCCCCCACAGATGTGTCCACAAGCCAACATGACCTAGGCGTTCCTCCAGTAGAGGCTGTCTTCTCAGGTGACTCCAGGTTGTGGCAAGTGGCACTGAAAGCTAACTATGATACCTGGATCAGTCAGGACCTATTATGGGGTTGATATTCAGAAGAACAATACGAACACATCATTAAAAATGAGACCGCTTCACCAAAGTCACAGGGGTGTTAAGGCAGGGAACAAGCGTGACGGCCGCCAGGAGGGTGTTCCTGACTTCCTACTCTCTGGCTATGGTTAAGTAAGTAGCCCCTAGTGCTGCCCCCTGACACTCAGGAACATGTTTCCGCTCCTTACCTCAGAATGCATACAAGTGCTGTGTGCCTGGTGGACACGGGGATTCCTAGAAAGACACCCACATGTCCTTGGAAGATCTTTCTGAACATTGTCAGGCTTGGTGTCGAACTCTTTCGTACTATTTCCTCCCTTTTTTCTTCCACTTGGAGTTTGATGCCTCTCTCTCCTGCCCCCATAGCCTCCCTCTCTTCTCTCCTGCATTTCCCTGAGCAGTATTTTTGTGCACTTAATCTACTGTCTGCTTCTCTAAAAACTGACTCAAGTTAGGAGAAATTGCTCCTTCAAAGTTCTGCCAACACCACCACTAGCAAAGTACACAAAATAAAGCCGTACCCAGGTGGATAAAGAGCATGTGTAGACCTCTGGTAACGTTCACCAGGCTTTGATTACATGACTCTTCTCTTGCTGTATTTTCCAGTTCCGAGAGGGTTACAAAACTTTGCCAGGATTCAGATCGGCGATTGTGACCCAGTTCACGTAAGAATGATGTAGCTTGCTCATTTTTTTTTTTTTTAATGAGGGCAGAATTCAGAATTCCAGGAAAGGAGATGACACATTCTTGGGCTATCATGTGGGGTGCTCAGCAGGAGCAGCTTGACAGAGGTGAGAGGTATTCCCAGACCACAGTGGTGAACAGGAAAAGGGACACCATGATGCGTCCCTATTCTTCACAGATGGACCTCCTTAGCAGTAAGGAGACACAAAGGTGTGTTCATCTCATGTGTACAAAAATTTTACAAACAGAAATGCATCTGCAGTTCTGAGAGTTTGAAATGTTAAAGTGGAATCATCTCAGATAGTGATATGAAAGACATTACTAGAAGATCCTGCTAGGTAGACGGGATTGCAGGTTTTCTGGTGTGCCTTGAAGGACTCCCCTGGAGCCTGGAAACCTTGCAGGTTCAGCTCATTTTCCCCATCAGGTCACTTTTCTCATTTGTATTCCCAGGCAAGGAATATAAATTCTCCTTTATAAACCTTGGGATGTCCATTAACATTTGAAGACAGGCTTATTGTTAGCAGTTCCTTGAAGATAATAGTACCCAGTTGGCTTCTGCTATTTCTGCTTTTCCATGCCCTAAGTCACAACGATCAGGACTTTCTTAGGTCAATGACTGCTTTACTAAACTGAGTGGTCTCTCTGCAGCAAAGGCAGCGTGGTTGTGAACTATGAGGTCCAGCTATCATCGGCACCACAGCCTGGATCATTTCACAAAGCCAACCAGCAGGTCACACAGAACCTTAACCAGACTTACAAAATGGACTACAACTCCTTCCAAGGAACGCCGAGCAGTAAGTGGAACCCACTTCATTATTGCGCGTGTCCACTTGGGGTGGGCATGGTGATGGTGTCGATTAAACCTAGGAGTCTGCCACAGAGGTTCTTGCATGTCTGTGTGCACTGCTGCACTAGTAACAAATCATCAAGGAAACAGAATCAGCCTAGACATCTGCCAACAAACGGATAATGAAAACTCAGTGTGTATGTACAATGGGATCTTCCAGGGCTGTCAAGAAAAATGAAATTATGAAAATTCCTGGAAAATAGATGAGTATGGAAAATACGAAGCCAGGTGAACCAGACTCAGAAAAACAAAACTTGTGTGTTCTCTCTTATATGTAGTTCCTAACATCTAATGTATGAAAGGAAGGCAGAAAGGAAGCTTCCAAGCATAGAAGGGTGGAAGTGGGGGATGAGGGGGAAGTTTGGGAAGAGGAGACTCAAAAAGAAATAATTTTGAAATGCCATAATGGGCCAGACATGGTGGCAAGCACCTCTAATCTCAGGACTCGGGAGGCAGAGGCAGGAGGATCTCTGTGAGTTCGAGGCCAGCCTGGTCTACAGAGTGAGTTCCAGGTCAGCCAGGACGTCATAAAGAAACCCTATCTTGAAGTTGTTTGGCTCGAACTGTTTGGGGGGCACCCAGACAGGGGGATCGGGATCTGTCCCTGGTTCATGGACAGGCTTCTGGAATCTGGTGCCAGTGGTGTGACGCCTTGCACAGCCTTGGTGCAGTGGGAAGGGGCTTGGACCTGCCTAGGCTTAGTGTGCCAGGCTCTGCTGACTCCACATGGGAGACTTCAATTTGGGGGATGTGGGGATGTGGGGATGTGGGGTGGCTTGGGAAAGAGGGCAGGGGGGTGGGATGAGGGAGGAGATGGGATCTGTGGGTAGTATGTAGAGTGAGTAGAAAATTTCTTAATAAAGAAAAAAGAAAAGAAAAGAGAGAATATGGATATGATAAAATAAAAGGGGAGATTATTAAATCTACTTTTAAAAAGAAACTACATAGGATAAGTAATGAAAATATTTGTCTGAATTTGTCAAATGTTAATGGACTGGACATTATTAATATATATATATATATACATATATATATATATATAAAATGGAGTTTTTTGTCTGAATCTGTCAAATGATAATGGACTAAACATTGTTAATGTAAAAAAAAAAAAGAAGAAAAAAAGAAACCCTATCTTGAAACAGACGAACAAAAAAAGCCATAATGAAATATAATACTTTGTATATTTTTTTAAAATGAGGGAAAGGAGGAAGGCCTAGGAAATCATGGGGATTTTCTTATTACAGAGGCCTGGAGTACTGTGTGCCTCCTTAACTAACACTATTACAGCTGGAGAGTCAGGGAGATGGGGACAGGGTTTCTAACAGAAACACAGGGCCTGTGAGTTTCCTATGTTCATATATTCAAAAGATTCATAAATGTTAGGCTAACACCGTGGTGGACGGGATGGGGGGGGCGGGAATCAGAGCAGATACTGACACTTAGTAGGGTTCCATTGTTGTTTTAGAGGGTGAGTCTCAGAGCTCATCTACACCACATTAGCCCTACAAAGACCCATCTGTACTTGACCGACACCTCAACCCTGGAAGGTTCAGATGCATGGGGAGGCTTCCAAACTGCTGTTCCCGATCATTTAAACTAGTGGTGGAAAATGCATGACTTTAGATGCTCTCTTCCAGAGGGGTCCAGACACGGGCTCTGGTGCGTCAGTGGGCAATGGGACCATTGTTACTCAAAGAGTGGTAAGAGGAGCCTGTGGGCAGCACTGTGACAGGCAGGTGCTGAGAAGAGCCCTCAGAGAGGGAGAGGAGGCAGAGTCTGGAGAGCCGGTTCCATGGTTTACGTTCATTGATATGTTACCCTCACACTTTGTCTTTGAATTCCCAGATGAAACGAAGTTCACCGTTATACCGGAAGTCATCTTTGAAGGAGACAACGTCACTCTGGAGTGTGAAAGTGAAATCGTGTCCTCCAACACATCTTGGTATTATGAAGGAAGACGCTTGGACATGAAGGATGGCGGCAGATTCTCCATTCACACCTCCGTCCTCAACAACATGAGCTTGGTCTCCCGCCTCATCATTTATAACTTCACGAAGCATGATGCAGGTGGGTTTCCCACCTGAGACCTGTGGGAGGAGCTGAATGGTGTGCTCAGAGAGGCAGCCCACAGAACAGGGGACGGGGGAGAGCTGCCCACAAGAAGCCTGATGGCTCATGTTCCAAAATGGAAAATGCATCCCATGGCATTCATGTGTGTGTGTGTGTGTGTGTGTGTGTGTGTGTGTGTGTGTGTGTGTGTGTGTGTGCACGCGCACACACACACATGCACAAATGCTGTGTGAGTGTGTATATATCTGCTAGGAGGACCTGCTGGTCAGAGGTTGCAGTCTACCATGACCTGGCAGCTTTCTCTGAGCTTGGCAACATGGACGACTGCCTCTCCCCAAGCCCTGTTCTCTACCTGACCTTATTTGGAGACTGTCGCTAGTCCCAGATCCCTGACTTATCTCTAGTATGACCCTAGACACAGTTCCCTGCAGAAGCTTCCCCTCTGCTGCCCACATGATAATTAGACATTGTGCTGGGAGCCTTATGATAGGGCCGCACTTCCACAGAAGCTCGGTCAGCTTTTGAATATTCCTTTAGCGGTCCTTGAATCAGATCTCAGATGCCATGATACATGGGGTGCTCAATTTTATTGAGAGAAATTCATAGGAGTGATAATAATTTATAATTTGGTATATTCTTTACAGGTGAATATCGTTGCAAGCTGACCTTGGATATTTTTGAATTTGGGGACTTCAGAAAACTAGATGTCACCCCCATTCGGATTTTGGCCAAGGAAGAGAGGAAGGTGGTGTGTGATAGCAACCCTATATCTCTGAACTGCTGCAGCGAGAACATTGCAAACTGGAGTAAAATCGAATGGAAGCAGGAAGGGGAAATAAGAATTCTAGGTAAGAGTTTCTAGATCAAGACCTTTTGCAAAGAGAGCTCTTTGCTTGCCTCTCAGCCAAGAATAAGTGAGAGATCTTGTGAGCAGAGGAGGAAAGACATTTATTCTGGACCATGAAAACAAACCCCAAAAACCTAGCTTTGATGTCAGAACCAGCTTAGACACTCTACAACAAACCTCTCAAAGTACTTGCCTGCAAACAGCATGCTTGTGTCCTGGGCAAGATCCCAGCAAATAAAGACCTGAGAGGGAGTGACCCTAGAGACTTAGTCCATAGCATGGCCCATCCTGCCCTTTTCCCCCATCCTCAGCAAAGCTGAGGTCATGAAGGGTTCACTGAGACCTGACCAGAGCTTCTCATTTCCATCCCACCGGAAGTCACTCACTTACATGCTTGCTTCAGCTTTTTCTGTCTCTCTGCTCCCAGCTTTCATTTCTCTGCAGACTCATTTCTCTTTCAGTTACTTCATGTCAATTCCTACTCATTTTTTTGTATGTATATGTATGTGGTGTGTGTATGTGTTTACACATGTTGGGCCATACAGTGCAGGCGCACACATGTGTAAAGGGCAGAGGCTAACACTGAGGTTCCTCCTTGAATGCTTTCTTTTTCTTGAACCCAGAGCTAAAGGAATTTTGCTAGTAGAGCTAGCCTGATTGATCCAGGGATCTCCCATCTTTCCTTTCTGCACGCTGGGGTTACAGGCAGGCTGCAGTATTTGTACAGATGCTGTGGACCTGACTCCAGTCCTCTGTCTTCCCAACACTGCTTTTGTTTTGCCCGGAGATGTAAACTGAAGTTCCCCACCCTCCAGTTTAGACTAATAAATGATAATAATAATAAAGAAAAGCAGCAGTGGTGTCTAGAGACATGGCTCAGCGAGCAAGAGCGTTTGCTGCCCTTGCAGAGGACCAGGGTTTGGTTCCCAGCACCCACATGGCTACTTGCAACCATGTGAAACTCGAGTTCCCAGGGATCTGATACTCCATTCTGACCTCCTTGGACACCAGGTACACACGTGCTGCACAAATGCACCTACAGGGAAGACACTCAGACACACAACATAAACAAATCTTTAAAAACATTCTGAGTTTGGCAGAAATGTTAATCCATTTAAAAAAAAAAAAACCATGATTGCTAGTGATCACATCTAAACCTGGTCACAAGTTTGAAGCTAGTAGTTTTACTTCCAGTGAGAAAATAAGGAAACTAGGATCCAGATTAAATTACTTTCCCAAGTTTATCACCCTATGAAAAGAAAGGAATTAGAATTCTTCATTGATCTCATGTCACAAGGCTGGCTATAGTGACCAGCACTTTCTCCATCCAGTGAGCCAGCTTTGGATGGAGCTGCCAGTGGTTTAAATACAAAACTTAGAAATTATATGGGACCACAGCCATCTTTTCTTTTAAGAAACAATTGTATAATGCACAAAGATTTAAGGGGAAAAAAATCTTTGAACTAAAATGCAGGGCTACAAACTTTGTGAGTGCAGTAAGTGTTTACGTTACAAAGTCTTTGCTCTTAAGACTGTGCTCGATCGTTATTACTCTTTTAGTGTGAGAAAGTCCGTTTCCACCCACACTTTCCTGACAACCTCTAGTCTGTAAAGCACATTTGCCCTGCAGCATCTGATTAGACATTCGATGACTGAGAAAGACATCTGGTAAACCTGAAAAATGTCGGCCCGGGCCATTTAGTCACTTCCCTGGTTTATGAGGAAAAGGTGGCACAGGCATCCTGAAGGAGCTGCCAGATGGATAAGAGGCCTTTCACGATTCCCATGGCTCTGCTGAAGGAGCTTTCAACCCTGCAACGTGACAGACCTTGCCCTCTGGCAGAGGGACCAGGAAGTCTGCAGTGGGATGCTCCGGGACCTCTCTCTCTGGTGACCCCTTTGCAGACTTTCCTAAGTCCTGTAAGACCGACCAGGCTGCAGAACAATGGATTTCCTGCATAGCTTGTTATCTCCCCATCCTGACCCCAGCCCTGGCCCCTACAGGAGCTTGATGAAGTGCTAAGTTCTACAATGAGAATTGCTGGTTTATGCACCCACAGCACAGTGACCGCCTCACATCATCACACCACAGCCCTGATTTCTGTTAAAGTCCCAGTTGTCTTTTAAGGCTTAGAAGAACATCCTCTCCTCTGAAATCCTTTATTGACACCCATCTGAAATGACCGTCCCTCCCCCACTGTAACCTACATGCTGTACTGAATTTTCTTTTGTGGGACCTATCCTTGAGACATTCTATTATTCTGTCTGTTTCTCTATACATCTCATTCATGGCTTATTGGCTTGCCTGTTGAGTGAGAAGACTGGACTTTTACACTGGACAGGAAGAGGAGGGGCATCCAGGTCCGAGGCTGCACGGTGTGTTGAAAGCCTGGATGTGGTTTGGGTTTTGAGAGGATGAAGAAGCAGGTTCAGAGGAGAGGGACAGATTAGAGCATACTGTGCAACCAACACTGCTACCATCCAGGGGTCTGAATCGGGTTTGTTTTGTCTGCCAATTAAACAACTTAAAGGCACAAAAATATCTCGAGGGTGAAGGGTAGCAACGGGAGAAATCTCAGACGTGACAGACAGACTCAGAAGATGAAGAAGGCTTTCACAGGGGTGAGAAAACACGCTCAATAGGGCCCATCTAGAGAAAGCAAGACAAAGACCTTCTGCAAAGCAAAGGAGGGTCTCGAGAGCCTAAAACCCTCCTCACTGGGATTTTGAGAGGTTTTTCTCCTTCAATTTAGGGCTGGTCAGTTGGAACAAAGACAGGGAGGCAGAGAGGCTCACAGCCCTGGAGCAAATCTGTCCTGCTAAAGCCCTGAACTTGTTGGGCTGGTCTGCTGGTGGAGTCGGGGATACTGCTGGGAGGAAAAAGCCCACTGGGTCTTTGTTTTGAGATGCCAGGCTCTTGTCCCAGAAAGAAGCAGGAAGGTCAGGAAAGAAGCTGGAAGCTTGCTATCTTCTTCGTCTGTTTGTCCTCTCCCCATCTGTCTGTCTAGCTCCCCATCCTTGAGAGCCACACACTGTGTTAAGAACATCTGACTTCACCACACACACAGCAAGAATTTCACAGTAAAAGTACGTTAGACCACCAGAGCTTTAGAAAACTAACATTCCAGGGGCCTCATGGCGTCTATTTATACTGGAAGCTCGGGAGGCTGAGGCAGGGGCATCGCAAGTTGAAGGCCAGTCTGAACTATACAGCAAATTCAAGCTTGAGCTGTATAGTGAGACCCTACAGCAAACCCAAAGCTATAGAAGGAAAGTGAAAGTTATAGGTAGCCTCGTGAGTAAGTTGAAGCATGAAATAATTGAGAATTGAGTCCCACATGGAATCAGTTGCAGAGTTCAGTCAACAAACAGTGGGGCCTGGGAGAGTGACCTTGCTTTGAGGGAGACAGCCTTGGTTCAGGAGTGTAAGCGTGGAGAGCATTTTTACAAGTGAATGGAAGCACAATGTGAGGAAGCGCAGGTAATTAAAGTGGCCTTTAAGCTTTTAAATTTGTGTTTCTGCCAATATCCAGTGAGAGGAAACACTGGATGTGCGAGTTTTGTCTGGGGGGAAAAATAAATAAATTGCACGTGTTGAGTTTGAGGTACCGGAGATGTCAAATCAACACTTGGGAATTTGCCTCAAAAGTTTCCAACCAGGACATTCCTCTTAGAGGAGTGTGGGAAGTCGTCCAACCTCGATTTATAACGGGAGCCAGAGCTGATGATGTTGCTGAGAGGGTGAAGAAAGGATGAGCAGCAGTGGGATGAGGTGGAGGGGATGAGGTGGAGGACAACATATGCATTTAAGGGGGATGCTCAGGGGCAGCGCTTAGAAAGGAGGCCCAGAAGGATGGGGGCAAAAAAGACAAAGGAAGGAGCCCAAGGCTCAAGCCGTCACAGCAGAAAGAAGGTGGCTGGGGAGGGTGTAGTGCGGATAGTATGAAGAAAAGCCCCGGATGGAGCAAAGAGGAGGTCCCTGTTGGCCTTAAGGAAAAACTTTTGGTAAAGTAGAGGGTCACAAAGGTCAATTTCATAGATGTAAAGAAAATGGGAGTGGGAAACCAGAGGTGACAAATGCAGAAGCATCATGAAAAGGAAGGGGTGGGGTGGGGTGGGGCTGGGGCTGGAGTTAGCTAGAGGGAATTTCACAGGAGCTGACTTGGCCTAAGATTTGACCCCCGTCTGAGGGCAAAATTTTAGCTCTCTACAGTCAGCCAGCCTTGTAGAATCCTTAATGCAGAGGTGGCTCTCTTCTGAGAACTCAGTTCAAGAAAGGGTGAACAGAGAGAGGATGTCTTTAGAGAGTTAGAAGTGATTTTTGTCCAAGTGAAAGAAAGTGGAAATCGGTGGAGTGGCTTGAACAGACACTGGGGGAAGAAAGCTGGTTGTAGGAGCTACTTTTCTCTTGGTGTGATAAAATAACCTGAGGGGAAAAAAACAGGTTAGAGAAGGCACTGTTCGCTTTTGGCTTCCAGTTCCAGAGCAGACACGGGTCCACCATGATGGGGAGGGCCTGGCAACCAGGAGTGCTCACGTTTCATCCACACACAGGAATCAGAACAGGAAGTGCGCCCAGGCTGTAAAACCGTAGAGTCCACCCACAGTGATGTACTTCCTTCAGCAAGTTCCCACATCCTAAACCTTCCCAAAGAGCAGTGCTAACTGGAGACTAAGTCTTCAAACACATGAGCCTATGGGGGACATATCTCATTCAAACCACAACAATGCTCATATGTCAATCAAAATAATAAAGGCACCTGTCTTAGGGTGACTACTGCTGTGACGAAATGCCATGACCAAAAGCAACTTGGGGAGGAAAGGGTTTATTTCACTCACAGCTCCACGTAACAGTTCACTGTCAAAAGCAGTCAGGGCAGGAACTCACGCAGGGCAGGAACCTGGAGGCAGGAGCTGAAGCAGAGGCCATAGAGGGGTGCTGCTTACTGGCTTGTTCCTCGTGGCTTACTCAGCCTGCTTTCTTATGGAAGCCAGGACTACCAGCCTAGTGATGGCCCCACCCACCATGGGCTGGCCCTCCCACATTGATCACACATTAAGAAAATGCCTTATAGCTGGCGCTTCTGGGGGCATTTTCTCAACTGAGGCTCCCTCCTCTCTGATGACCCTTGTGTCCGGCTGACATAAAACCAGCCAGCACAGCACTGCTGATCAGCTACAGTTGAAAGACACTGACCCATCAACACTTACTCTGTGTTGTTCACTTTGGGGCGGTGTAAATGTTTGAAGAATGTCTCGGGACGGCAGTAGCAGGTGAAGGGGCAGGGAGGAAATGGAGACTGGAGTAGAAAAAGCAGACACGGGGTTATTCTAGAACCCTAGCAAGAAGTAGGGATGGCTCGGAGGGTAGACTGTTTCTGGGGATGGGAACAATGATTTTTGGGCACATAAAGCTGCCAACAACTGAAAAAGTATGAAACTGAAGCTTCCACTAAAAACTGGCTACCAATTTAGAGTCAGACAACCGTGATATCAACAGATTTGTTTGTATCATTGCAGGGAACCCAGAAACAGACCTGGAATCTAGCTGTAGCACTTACACCCTCAAGGCAGATGGAACCCAGTGTCCCAGTGGGTCTTCTGGAACCACAGTCACCTACACGTGTGAGTTCGTCAGTCCCTACGGAGCCACAGGCAGTAAGAACATAGCTGTGACATTCATCTCTGTAGGTAAGAACTCTTGCCATAGAATGTTTTGATAGATTATGTTGCACTTGCCAGTCAACAGGGATCATTAGTGGGCAAAATAAAGCTGGGCTTTCCCTAGGAGTGGGATGGTGGTCGGATGTTCCTCTACACCATTTCAAGTCAGGTGGAACCCATTTTAAATTGGGAAGGGTTGGGTGGGAAAGAGCGGCAAGAAACTAATCAGGTTGTCCTGATAAAAGAAGCGGAAGGGCTGGGAAAGTAGTGTCATGACCAGGTTATTGAATTCATGTGACAGCAAATGCCCTCTCCTTCCACAATTCAATTTCTCTTCTTTAAATTCCAACAGCCTCGTTCACATCCCCACTACTCAGTTCCTCTCCCAGTCTACACATTCTAGAAATAACTCTGCAGAAAGTTGGGACAATGATCAATTGCCATTGTCCTGTGGTTCAATAAAAACCTTTGTTTCAATCTCTCAATTCTTAGTGAGGTTGCGTAAAGTATCATTTCTGATGTCATCCACACACGGGAATCAGAGAGACAACAGGAAGTGTGGCCAGGCTGTAAAACTTTAAAGCCTGCCCACAGTGATGTACTTCCTTCAGCAAGTTCCATGTCTTAAAGGTTTTGTAACCTTCCCAAAGACTATCACCAACCGGGAACTACGTGTCCAAACACATGAGCCTGTGGGGGACATTTCTTGTTCAAACCATAGCATTCGTCATATGCCAATCAAAATAATAAAGGCATCATTAATCAACTAGCATTATAGAGTCACCACAGCTACAAACATTTCTTCCCACCTAGCCTATGAAAATGAACCACTTACAGCCTTTTTGAGAAGTGTCCTGAAAAGCAGGATGGAAACAGTACCCATTTTGTCTCCTGCCTGCGTTCTGTTACTGGGACTTAGTGTTTATACATCGAGAACAGGTTCTGGGGGATCCTGTCCACAGCACAGCTCTCTGGGTTAGAACATGAGTGCACAGGTTTGGCAGTTTTCACTACAGAAAACTGCAAAGTTCCAGAATACCCAGGAGAGCCTCTAAGGCAAGCACCTGGTTCCTCTCCTGATGCTCATCAAGGCTTCGCTCTTATCTGGAAACCTAGGCCATAGTGTAGAGGCCTGGTTAATCCTTGCTGAAATCACTGGTCTGGTCATCTGACCTCCTCTGAGGACAAGAGAACCAGACTTCTGGTCCACGAGGCTTTGCTTTCTGCTCAGACATGGCGAACCCTCAGAGAGCCATTTCCAGATCCCTCTAGTCAGGGAGGGCAGAGTGAGGGACACACTGTGTTATCTGCACACTTTGGTGCTGGACCTCAGCATGAGAACCCTGACTAAGACACTGTGGAAATCACTGGCTTCTCTGGGTTATCATTAAGAATATGATTCATATTGACTGGAGAAGCTGGCCTATGGTGGTAGCCGTTCATCTCCATGGGTGACTGAGGCAAACGCCGTTTTGAGATGTCAGTCATGGAAAAGACATGCTCCCAGAGAAGGGGAATGATAGAAAAATATAAAAATAAACAGTGGGATTTTCATATCAGCATCTGTATGCACGATGGTCTCGACATTGTCAACAAACAATGTCTTACTAATCTGAGAGAATTCCCAAAATAGCAGTAATCAATTACATTATATAACCCTGGTTCTAGTACTATATATAGTTAAAATGAAATAGCTATAAATAATTATTAAGGTGCCCATACATCTCAGTCTGCCTGAGATAGTCTAAGCATAATTATTTAACTAGGGAACTTTATGATCTGTCTACTGAAAAAGTAGATCAAGAATTCATTCTTTTGTTTATGAAGCACTAACTGTATACCAGACCATCAGTAAATGCTAAGGATGTACCAACAGGGGACAAAGGCTACTTTTTTTTTTATTGGGGACAGCTATAGAAAGAAGTGAAGCTCCATTACAGTGGTGTGGCACTGGTGGAACCCTGGTAATCATAGCTACCTTCCAAGATACAATGCAGTATTATGGGGGCAGTGTTTAAAAAGTTGATATGAATCATTGCAAGAACCCAGTCCTCTATTTTTCCCTTGAGGGGTCACCGAGGAGGTTGGAGGGGAGCCTGGGTTAAGCCAACATCCCTAAGTTTGCAACCTTTTACCCTGCTAATCATCAGGAGATAATTCCAGCTACAAAGGGGAAGTGCCCGAGGTCCTCAGGCATGTGATGGAAGTGAGTACAGTTCAGAGCACCACCGGGAACAGCCTAGAAACAAGTAAAGCCCAGGAGCAGCAAGGTACCAATCGCGTGTTGACATCAGTAGAGCCAGGACGGTCCGTGTTGATGTCTCTGTCTTAAGTTTCACTCCTGTGTCGATGTCACCAGAAAAACTAAACGTTGGATTTGTTGTCAGTTTTGTCTTGTCTCTTTTGTTTGCATCCCTTCAGCCAACCTAACAATAACCTCGGACCCAATTTCTGTTTCTGAGGGACAACGCTTTTCTATAACATGCACCAGCGATGTGGTTAACTATGATGAGGTATACTGGAACACTTCAGCTGGTATTAAAATCCATCCAAGGTTTTATACCATGGAGAAGTATCAGGATAGAGCGGAGTCGGTGCTGACGGTGCAGACCTCCACCAGGGAGTGGAATGGTAAGTGATGGGCCAGCCCCTGCCGTGGGCTCTGTAGACCCCTGGAAAGGTGCACTGACAGCAGCTGCCTATGAAGGCTCTGGCTCGGGACATGCCTCTGATGGCTATGTTAATTGCTCTTTGTGGGCAGTATGACAAGATAGCATCCAGCCCTCTTGTGGATGTAGAAAATGATGCTCAGAGGCAATAATCATCGCGGGGGTACAAGCCAAGTTGTGCAGCGTGAAGTTAGTGTCTGAGCCCGCAGCCTGCACCCCTGCCATCAAGACAATAGGAGTTGTTCCCAAGTCACTTTGCTAGGGCCTGAGAAGTGTCTCGGTCAGTAACGCACTTGCCTTGCAAATATAAGGGCCTGAGTTCGATCCCCAGAAGCCTCGTAAAAAGCCCAGCACAGTAGTGACAACTTACAACCTCAGCAGTGGGACGCAGGGATGGGGGTGGGGGTCATGACAGGGTGGATCCCTGGAGGCGTGCTAACCAGCTAGTCTGGCCTATGTGGCAAACTTCTACGCCAATGAGAGACCCTGTCTCAAACAAAAAACAGAGGGGCCCAGGAGGCACAATACTGGAGGTTGTTCTCTGAACTCCACATGTATGTATATATACATACACATGCATATGTGCACACACATGCACACACACACATACACACACACACACACACACAAATAATAATAATACAACTTTACTAGATGCTTGGTGCTACCCTACCCAGATGTGCTATGAAAACTCTAGGAAGTGTTTATTTGTCTAGTTTTAAGTAGAGAAGTATTTGTATTTCCTGTTTATAGCTCTGTGCTGTTCATGTTGCCAGGAGATACAAGTCTTGGAAAGTATAAGGAATTGGTAGACCTGTGTGGTGACAGCTGACATCCATGGATCCTTTAAGATACAATATTCACTGTGCTAAGTATTTAAACATCCAGGGCAGCTGCTTAAGTGGTGGTTTGTCCTCTGGTGCCATGGTGTCCTGGAGCCCAAGGGACCACTCATTTAGACAGACAAGTGGGTGTGACACAGTCCTCCATCATGTCCCAGATCTTCAGAAACTCCCTCGTCTCTGCGCACCACCAAATCCCCATTCTTTCCTTGGTTGTGGGAGAAGCTCGGAGTAGGAAGTTTGGCACTCAGCTTCATGCTTAACCTTGCATAAGCCACTTGATTTGATTGGTTGGAGTGAATGCATACTTGCAAGAAAGAGAGTTATTGGTTAGTTCTCCAGACGTGTGAAGTACCTAGGAGAGAAGTCAATCAAGCTCTCCCAGCGCCCTTCCCCAAGTTGGGGGAGGAAGGCTAAGACTCTTATCGTCAGCGATGCTGAGTGAGGACCACATGACAGTGATGCCTTTTAAGACCAAGGACTTCACTCTGCCTCCCTTTTGCTCCCTCCCCACAGGAACCTACCACTGCATATTTCGATACAAGAATTCATACAGTGTCGCCACCAAAGATGTCACCGTCCACCCACTGCCTCTGGAGTCAGATATCATGATGGATCCTTTGGAAGCCAGTGGTCTGTGCACCAGTTCCCATCAGTTCAAGTGCTGTGTGGAAAAGGAGGAAGGGGAAGAATACTCTGTGACTTTCCACGTCGATTCCTTATCCTTTCCTGCTGGTAAGAGGCAGGCCACCCCATTGTTAGGTCCCATTAGCTCACAGAAATGAGGTTTTATTCTTAAAATAGATATTGAAAAGTTCCCGGAGATGGAGCCTCACTTGCTGTCCAGGAATGCAATCCCCGGTTACTCAGGAAACTGATACAGATGGATTCATGTGCTAGGCCTGCCTGAGCAACATAGGGAATTCAAAGCCAACCTAGGAACTTAGCGAGAGACCCTGTCTCAAAATAAAAGAATGGAAAGAGGCTGAGGATGTAGCTCTGCTTCAGGGCACATCCCAGCATACAGGAGGCCTATGGCATCAGTTCCCTCAGTACTGGATAGAGACTTCATCAGGGATGAAATGTCACAGAGACTTCTTTGTTATCATGCTTTGGCACATGGCTGATGACTCACTAGTTTGAAGCAGAAACTTTGGGTGGAGCCCATACGTTCTTCTCCATCTCCACTCTCTCACTGTGGCCGACTAGACATTCTGATAAGCCCTCCTTCTGTGTCCTAAGATAACTTGATAGAAAATGACCCAGTAATCCTTCTAAATGTGTAACAGGGCCAGCAAGACAGTAAGAGAGAAACAGCCAAGGACCAGAGACAGAAAGAAAGTAAAGTAAAACTCACACTCAAATGAAGGCATTTGCCATTATCAGAATCCCAGAGCCTTGAGCTTCAGGCTCTGGAAGACCTTGCTCTTTAAACTTTTTTAGGCTGGGTGGTGGTGGTGCAGGAGACTAGCCTGGTCTACAGAGTGAGTTCCAGGAGAGCCAAAGCGCCACAGGGAAACCCTGTTTTGAAAAACAAACAAAAACAACAACAGAAAACCAAACCAACTCGTTTTAAAGATTTATATTATTTTATGTGTATAAATATTTTCACCTGCTTATATGTGTGTATCAGATATATACAGAGCCTGTGGAAGTTAGAAGAGGATGTTGAGTCCCCTGGAACTGGAGTTATCGATGGTTATGAGCCACCACGTGGGTCTGGGAACCAAATCCAACCTGTCTGAAAGAGCAGCCAATGCTCTCAACCACTGAGCCATCTCTCTAGCCCCTGTCTCAGTCCTTTAAATGGTACCCAAGCCTGGTGGGAGCCTACCACATCCCATGCCTGGCACAATGGCAGGATCTTCAAAGGGTATCATGCTCAGTAGAAGACTAGGGCAGGAAAACAAAAATCCATCAGTCATGGTTAAAAGTCTGGCTTCCTCTCTGGGTGGATGCAAGCTCCCCTAAGCGTTGAAACTTCCCTGCTTTCAGCCCACTTTGGATGCTGTTCGTATACTATGTGGTATTTAAGAATGCTATGTTGAGGAGAAATTAGCTTCCGGTTCCTCACTGGCAATCATCTTGCAAAAGTAAATAAAACAAAGTTCAAATCCTCTCTTGTCAAAGGTCTCACAACTCCTAATCTGAAATGCACACGGCTTGTTAATTCTTGAGAACAATAGGCAAGAAAAAGGTTAAAAAAAGAAAACCTTAGGCATGGAGATGGAGAGATGGCTTAGTGATTGAATGTGGGGGCTCTCTGCATCCACCACCGCCAGCAGAGCAATGACCCATTGGCGTCAAGAGGCAGTTTGGTTCAACACAACTCAGTAGCTGGTGTTGGTTCAGACTTCAGGAGTCTGACCCTGAGTAGTTTATTTTAGGCATATTTAAACAGCACAATTTGGTGAAAACATCGCTGGTGATAATTAATCCCATGTGCACAGTGAGCATACATAAATCTCCTTGAGGACCAAAGTAAGCTAAATAAAGGGCAGACATGACTACATCTTTGTCAAGTACATGTGACACCTTCAGTAACAATAGGTTCTATAGATTGAGAAAAGCTTCTCAATCTCGTGATAAGGGCTTAGGAAAGGATCCAGTGTGGTCTCAGTCACACAGATAGTGCAAAGGTCAGCAGCCATTAACCTCTTCTCCCAACCTTCAGGGCGGATGACAGGTTATGAGGTTATGCATCCCTTCCTTAAAAGGAACAACTCTGTGTATTCCTGGTTCCCCTAGTGCTTACCTGTGAGCACAAGGACCCCCAGGCCTCCTACAATTGAAGGCACTTACTGCTCTTGCAGAGGACCTGAGTTTAGCTCTCAGCGTCCCCACTGGGCAGCTTACAACCATCTGTAACTCCAGTCCCAGGGCATTCGGCACCCTCTTCTGGCATCTGTGAGATCTTAGCACCTGTGAGATCCTGCATGTACATGATGCACATACAGACAAGCGGACACATATAAATCATAAGTAAATTAATAATAATAATAATAGCAAATAATAATTTAGGTGTTTATTTTAATGTCTAAAAAGGCCTATGCTATATAAAATGCCATGCATATAACACTAAATATCCTAAATGTGTAGCATAGATTGAAAAGGCAGTGGAAATTCAGAAAAGTAAGACTCCAGTTAGATAGAGAAGGCCATGTTACAGTATTTGGATGGCAAAGAATCAACCCAGGTAGTGAAGAGTGCCAATATCTCCACATTCTGAGGCCAGTATGCATAAACTGGGTGCTTTTCATGTGCCAGATACTGAGACAAGCACTGGGAGACATGAAGATAAATGAGACTGGGTGGGGACTTCCTCTCCTGGAGCTTCTGGGTTAGTAGAACAGAATGACCTACAGGCAAGGGAGAGGGCTGAGTTGTTAAGAAAATATACTGTGCTTGCAGAGTTTGAGTACAGTTCACAGCACCCACCTTAGGTGGCTCACAACCACCAGCAACTACAGCTCCATGCTGTCTGGTGCCCTCTTCTGGGCTCTGCAGGTAACTGCACTAACAAGCATATACACACACCTATGGGTACACATCATTTTTAAAAACTTAAATAAATCTTCAAAATATAGAATAGTCTATAAAGTGGTGGTTATAAATCACTGTGAAGCAGGGTGCAATCAATATGCTGAGCAGGATGTGGGCTCAGACTGGAAATTATGAATGGCCTAGGTGACATTTGGGTTAGCATATATTCAAAGATGAATTCAGCTATTCTGAGAGCCAGAGGTTATTTTCACATAAATATGTGAAACCACACTAAAAATAAATGTCACAAATTTCCAAGGAGAATCTGGGGCAGGTTTGTTCATCTTAGAACATCTTGACAACCTTCGTGTCTTGGCTATCCAAGTTGTGAATTCACGTTCTGGATAACACTGTCTTTAGAGAAAGAAGTCAATGGCAAGCAGGCATGCTACAAATACAGTCTCCCGGCAAACGCACCGCGCTGGTGTCCCCAACACATCGATGTGTTTTGCCACTTTACCAATGCAGCTAACAGTTCAGTCCGGAGCCCACCAATGAAGCTTACCCTTCTTCCAGGTGAGTGCACTGAAATTCCTTTAAAATCATATAATCCTGAGCAGAGACTCCTCATTCATTGCCTCCTTCGTTTGGCTACTCCATAAATATATATTAAGTACATTCACTGGGGCAGACCTCGGGTGAACCATAGGGAATACTAAAAGAAACAGAGGCCATGTTCTCTGGCCTCTAGCCTCGAGGTGAGATAGAGAGATGATTGAAGACACTGTCACAGCTGCTGTGGCAGCTGTAAAGACAGAACTATTGTGGGTGGCCAGAAAGGCTGCTTGGTTCTGGTTTAATTCTGCTGCTGATAGTGGAGAGAGGTCTTAGCAGATGAAGTCGTTCCAGGGCTGAGCCCAGAAGGCTGAGTGGTTTGTGAGGCAGACTGGGCAGTATCTGTGTCCGGCTGAGATTCCCTAGAGAGAATGTCAAGGGAATGTGTCCTCACTAGCACTCCATTCCTGAGAGAGAGCCATTTGAAAAGAATCGGTGGGAAGAAGAGGTGCCTGCCTTTTCCATCCTCTGTCACCACTGGGCCAGTGTGACCTGGCCTATTCTCAAGGTGGCTGTGTGACTATTTCTATGTGAGTCCATGTAGAAGAAATCACCCCAGTCACCAGAGAGGCAAAGTGATAAAGATGATTTCCTGAAAATGGGATCCCTGATAGTCAAAGGTTCCCTAATTCTTCTACCTAGTTTGTTTGGCTTACTGAACATTCTGTGGACATTCTGGCTCATATTGGTAACTGGGACCTGTCAATCAAAGTGGGAAGGCATTATGACCTTAAGACCCTTGGCGAACAGGGTAATCTCTTATTTGGATGAGCACACATTAAGTTCTTGTTGTTTTCCGTGGTTTAGATTTCCTCTACATCCAAAATGAGAGTCCCAGGGATTAGAGGTGGGCATGAAGCAGAGACAAAAGCAATTGCAGATTACAGGAATTTGCTGTGGGTTGAAAGCAAGAAGGGGCTTTGGAAAACCAGGAACAGAATGAAAGTGTTTAGTTCCCACCAGGCCACTAAGAGCAAAGGCAGTATGAACGCTAGCACCAAAGACTGCAGCCTGATCCTGATTCCTTCTTCCTTCTCTTCCTATAAGTTGTCTCTTTTGAAAATTCGTATATGTGTTTTTAATACTCATGACAGGGGCAGGACAGGCAGATCAACAGTAGAGCAATCTCCTGCCATCCACAGTAGCTCTGACTGCGTCTTGATCACAGCAGCTGAGATGGCATTTCCCCTCACACTCACAAGGTCAATCATCAGCCAGACAGAACTAAAGTGAGATGACTTTACACATGGACAGGCTTCTGAGTGGGGAACTGCCCACTTGTGGCTCCATGCTGGTGCTTAGAAATATTCGGAATTCAGAGTGATTTGGATCTCAAGTTTTCAAATTAAAGGTGTTCAACTTCTTTTTTTAAATGTCACTGTAAGTTATCGTTGTAGATGGCACTGTATAACACAAGGACCGTTTCATATAAGTGTGTAGTGTATACTGAGTTTACCCCCAACTTTCATACCCCCTCTTTCCTTCTCCCCCTCCCCCAATAGTCTTCTTGGTTCCCCTAGATTATTTCATCTCTACATTCATCATATACATATACATATATACATATGTATTATATCTACATGATTTTATGAATCTATATAAAATCTAGGAACCACAAATGAGAGACAATATACAATATTTGTCTGAGAATGGCTTAATGTGCTTAATATGATCATCTCCAGTGGCATCCAGTTGCCCCCAAATGGCATAACTTCATTCTTCTTTATGGGTGAAAGACATTGCTGATGGCCCCTTTCGTTTCCGTGTTTCTGGCACAGGGGAGAACATCACATGCCGGGATCCTGTGATAGGGATCGGGGAGCCTGGGAAAATCATCCAGAAGCTGTGCCAGTTCTCCAGTGTTTCCAGAAGCCCTGGCCAGATCATCGGTGGGACCATCACGTACAGATGTGTGGGCTCCCAGTGGAAGGAGGAGAAAAGAGGCTGCATCTCGGCCCCCATCAACGGTTTGCTCCGGCTGGCCAAGGTGAACCTGGAACCCTTGACTCCAAGCGCTGGGGGAGGAGCATCTCTGCGGTTCAGCAGAGTTCTCAGCACTTAGGAAAGCCATGAGTGTGTTATACTTTCTCAGTGATCTCTTTCAAATAGCTCTGGTCGCAAGTCGCTATTAACATTTTCATGAAGGGATAATATAAAAATAAGATTCAATAATGAATAGTTTAATTAGGAAAATGCTGAAAGTGAACTGCTAGATGACATTGGTGGCCATGTCTCAGTATGAAGTGTTTTAAATAAAACAAATATCTGTGTGTTCACAGAAGGGACACTCATCAAAGTCTTCCTAGAGAAGACAGATTTTTTTTTTCCCAACTCATTCTTTTTAAAGAGTTAAGAATGTAGAGAGTTAGAAAACAGATATGTACAGTAGATGATACAATCTGTCATCTGACTAGAGATACTCTGAGACTAAAAGGGGACAACTCTTTTATTTTTATAATAGTATTTTTATGATTAAAATATAATCACACAATTCTATCCCATTCCCTTTCCTTCCTCCAATTCTTTCCATGCCTCGTGTTCCCTTTTTCTTTACCTTACGTATTTATGCATACACACACATACACATAACCTTCTCAGTCCACTCACTGTTGCTTATATGTTTATGATTTCAGGGTTGACCACTTGATATTGGATAACCAGTTAGGAAATGCATCCCTTGGGGAGACTCTTTCGTCTGCTCCCAGCATCTCTTAGTTGCCTGTAGTTTTTCATCTAGGCTCGGGACCTGTGAAATTTCCCCCTTACACATTAGTGTGTCTGTTATTATTGTCCTTGTGTAGACCTTGCGGGGGCAGCTGTGTTATGGAGGTATCATAGGCGAAGCTTCCTTTGTCGTTCCTAGGAGACACCCTCTCACAGCATTTTCCAAGTCCCCTGGCTCTTCCAGTCTTTCTATCTCCTCTTCCTCAGTGTTTCTAGGCCTTACACAAAGGAGTTGTGTTGTAGATGTATCTACTGGGCTGGATGCCCCATGCTGAGTTATTTTCTACATTTTGACCAGTTATGGGTTTGTATAATCGTTTATGCCTGTTGCAAAGAGAAGTTTTGTTTGTGTGGGTTAGAAGTGACACTTATCTGTGGGTCCATGGGTAAGAATTTAAAAAGCAGTTAGGAGTTATGTGGTTTAGTGAAATAGTAGTGTGCACTTCTCCTCAAGGTCTGTGACCTCACTAGCCCAGTTGACTAGGTTTCTCGTATTAGGCATAATTTCCCTCCTGTTGAATGAGCCCTAATTCCTATTATACGGTGGTTGGTTACTGTCAAGATATGAGTGCCACTGTTGCAGCACTAGTGATGTCTTGCCACATTGGTCCCTTTTGAGGTTCATAGGCTTCACAGCTACATAGGACTACAGTTCACTTCACTCCCTTGGCACTTTGCATAGGACCTTTCAGGACTATGAAAGTAAAAGAGGACACACCTAATAATTATATTGAGATAACAGATATAGAACAATAAAACAGGGAAGACAATCACAATCACAATCAGAAGTATCAGCAGTACACAGGGGAAAAAGAATGGTAGGTGTGCTTCCCTATGGACAAGTGACGAGTTTGGTTTACTTTAACCCTGTAGCAATCACATATATCATTCCTTTGTTTCTAGTTAGATTTCAGGTTGGCCTGTGTTTGACTCTTTGCTTTCTATATGCATGAGGTCTTAAGTTTTTTTCATCCTGAGGGGCATGCACAGACAGTTTAAGGGGCAAAGGCTTCAACTTACAATATAGACTATTGATTATGGACACTGAGAAAAAAAAAAAAGGAGACCACAGCTTCCAGATAACCAGGATGAAAACATCTTCATTTGTTCTGCCTTTTTTTTAAACTAGGCATTGATCAAGAGCCCCTCACAGGACCAGAAGCTCCCTATATACCTGAGGGACCTTTCTGCTAGTTCTGTGAAGGAGGAACAGGATATCCGCTCATCTCCAGGGAGCCTGGGAGCCGTCATTAGCATCCTTGATTTGCTCGCAACAGTTCCAACCCAAGTGACTTCAGAAATGATGAGGGTAAGTGCCCTTAAACCTTGTGAGAGTTTGGGGTCTTATTTTCTTACACCCCTGGACTTGTGCTCAAGAAGCATTCCTTCTTCCCGTGAAGATTCTTCTTTTCTAGAGCACTGATTTGGATATGAGAATAGCAAAGCATGCTCTGCAGGCTACAACTTCTACATTAGAAGGGTCTCAGTTTCTTTAAAGAATCTCTGTTTTTGTTTCTTTGTTTAAATAGAATGAGTCCCTAATAGTTTTCTAGGAAAACTAGGAATTAAGAGAGTTACAAAGTATCTACAAGGTGGGTGTGATGGTGCCAACTTGGCATCTAGGAGGCAGGGCTTTTGACACACCTGTGAAAGATCAGCTGGGCTAACTAAGGTCAATGTAGCTGAAAGTTTTTCTGTGTCCTGCCTGGCCTGCGGTCAGGACAAAAACATCTAACTACAGGCTAGCTTCAGAGAAGGTCTGTGAGAGACTGTCTTCATTAAATTAATTAATATAGGAAGACCCATCTTAATTGTGGGGAGCACCATTCCCTAGGCTAGGGATCCTGGGTTATATAGGAGTAGAGGATGTGAGCTGAGCACGTGCGTGCTCGCATTAATCCGTAGCTCTCAGCTCTTGACTGTGGATATAATGTGTCCAGTTCTCTTAAGCTCCTGCTGATGTCACTTCTCTGCCATGATGGGCTGTAATCTGAAATTGTAGGCCCCTAAGTTGTTTTTGTTGGGGCATTTTGTCACAGCAACGCTTTTTACAGCAACAGAAAGAAAATCAAGACAAGATTCTCACAGGTCTTGCATTGAATGCGAACTGTGAGGTACTTGCTGTTTTGCGAAAAAGGAAAAGTCCTAAGAGTTCAAATGGAGAGGCTTTAATGAAGGGAGACAGAATAAAATATGTGAGGGGTGGCAGGGCACTCAGAGACCAGCGCCTTTATAAGCTATTACCACACTATAGACAAAAGATTGGAAATCACACAACTGGAGTCCCGTGAGAGCTGAAGTTTTGGAGGAGAGCACTCTCCTCACAAGCTATAGATTTTGAAGTCCAGTGTGGTTTTTTTTACCAGAGTCAAGCTTGGGAGGAAGGGAAGAGGGCAAGGGGACACTATGGGTAGTTATGTCAACTTCTCTTGCTCTCATCTTCCTGTCGCCTGCCCCCTGGTGGCCAAGCCCAACAAGAGGCCAACAAGCATGGAGCACAGTAGCAACGCTTTATGTTTATGGGTAGGGACAGCACAACCAGGAACCATGGGTTGGGTGGCTTAGGCAGAAGTGTCACTGTTCTAGATGTGAATCATGCTCAATGCAAAGGTGCTGGAAGAGCCTTTCTTTCCTTCTTCAGCTTCTGGGGAAAACGTTCATACTTTAGATCCTGCAGCACCCTCCAATCTCTGTCCTATCCCTTTTCTCTTCTGTGTTTTGTGAAGATATTCTTGGAGTTGGGAGCCACCCAGATAATGCAGAACAAATCTTGTCCTAGGTTCATTGTTGCTGTGATAAACACCATACCCAGAGGCAACTTGGGGGAGGGAAGGGTTCATTGAAGCTCACAGAGGAAGTGAGGGCAGGAACTTGAGGCAGGAACCAGAGAGGAATGCTGCTTGGTGGTTCACGGGCTCCTGCTTAGCTGGCTTCATTATATATCTCAGGACCACTTGTCCAGGGAATGGCATTGCCCACAGTGGACTGGGCCCTCCTACATCAGTTAAGGCAACCAAGACAGTTCCTCACAGGCGTGCCCACCTGCCATTCTGCTCTAAGCAATTCACCGATTGAGACGACTTCTCAGACAACACTTGTGACTCTAGGCTGTGTCAAGTTGGCAGCTAAAGCTGACTAGAGCAGATCTTTAGTGCAATTACATTTGTAAAGGCTCTCCATCCACATAAGGTCACATTCCCAAGGATTGGGTATCAGGATATACCCTGTTAGGGGCTGCCACTCAACCTGTTCCATGGGCTTATTCTCCTATAGGTCAGACAAAAAAAATAGGGAGAAAAACTATTTTCAAGAGAAGGGAATGAACGAAAAGCATTGGGCCCAAGCTTAAGAAAAAGAGAAAGAAATTGTTTATCAGAAAACAAAACTGCCCTTGGAAACACTCCCATAGCTAATTTGATGCTCAGGGCTAGAGCAGGTCTTCTGGGACCTGTGTTAGTGACAATGCCCCCCACCAAAAAGCCTTCACAGGCTTGTGATTTAAAGTCAAGTCAACCAAGGGCCTGGAGAGATATTTGCAAAGTGTTTACCAAGCAAGCACGAGACTCTGAGTTCAGTCCCCAGAACCCATGTAGAGAAACTGGGCACAAGGCTTGACCCCCACCCTACCCCCCACCCCTAGTGCTGGGAACAGCAGGAGGATCAATCTTTGGAGTATATCAGCCATGCAATCGCACCGAATCAGTGAGCTCCAGATTCAGTGAGAGATCCTGTGGACAGATGTTGTGAAAGAGACCCAATGTTAACCTCTGGCCAACGTCAACCTCAGTACCTTCATGCATATATATGTACACCCATAAGCATACATATACAAAAATACAATAAGAACCAAAAAAAAATTCAAAAGACAAAAAACAGGAAATAAGATCCCTCCCGGCCAGCTAAATAGGTCTTAGTAGTGATGGAGATGATTCTCATAGTCATTGTTACTAAATGCTCAGGAAAGTCCCACAGCCTTGTACTCCCTGCCTCTGTCATGCTCTGTCCTGAGAAAGCAGGGGACAGATCTTCTCTGCTTGTGATGCTTTCGATTCTCTGCTTTTCCCCTTTGCTTATAGATGCCAACCAGTACCCAGAGAAATGCTGTTTTGCCTCTTTTATCTTGAAAAAATGGTTTGGTTGCCCCCCCCCAAATGTCGCCTACAGGATATCCTTGCTACCATCAATGTCATCTTAGACAAGTCCACCTTGAACTCCTGGGAGAAGTTACGACAGCAACAGAACAACCAGAGCTCTCAGTTCCTGCATTCCGTGGAAAGGTTTACCAAAGCCCTGCAGCTGGGAGACCACACCCCTCCGTTCCTCTTCCACCCTAATGTTCAGATGAAGAGCATGGTCATAAAACATGGCCACCCCCACCACCCCCAAGCCTACCAACAGAAGTTTGTCTTCACAGACTCCGACCTGTGGGGTGATGTTGCCATTGATGAGTGTCAGCTGGAAAGCCTGCAGGCCAAGTCATCGATTGTCACTGTGGCTTTCCCGACTCTCAAAGCCATCCTTGCCAAGGATGCGCAGAAAAAGACGGCTTCCAACAGCTTAGTGATGACCACCACCATCAGCCGCAGCATCAGCAAGCCGTTTAGGATCGCCATGACTTTTAAGAACAGCCGTCGTGCAGGCGGCACGCCGCAGTGTGTCTTCTGGAACTTCAGCCTTGACAACTATGCAGGGGGGTGGGACAGCAGTGGCTGTTCTGTGGAGGAGGATGGTCGGGACACCAGGGACAGGGTCTTCTGCAAGTGTAACCACCTGACCTCATTCTCCATCCTCATGTCCCCAGACTCCCCAGATCCAGGATCTCTCCTAAAAGTACTTCTGGATATCATTTCTTACATTGGGTTGGGCTTTTCCATCTTCAGCTTAGCGGCTTGTCTGGTCGTGGAAACCATGGTGTGGAAATCAGTGACCAAGAATCGGACTTCCTATATGCGCCACATCTGCATAGTTAACATTGCTTTTTGCCTTCTGATTGCTGACGTCTGGTTCATTGTGGCTGGTGCTATCCATGATGGTTACTACCCACTCAACGAAACCGCCTGCGTGGCCGCCACCTTCTTCATTCACTTCTTCTACCTCAGTGTCTTCTTCTGGATGCTGACCCTGGGCCTCATGCTCTTCTACCGCCTCATTTTCATTCTACATGATGCAAGCAAGTCCACCCAGAAAGCCCTGGCCTTTTCCCTGGGCTATGGCTGTCCACTCATTATCTCCTCCATCACAGTGGGCGTTACCCAGCCGCAGGAAGTCTACATGAGGAAGAACGCATGTTGGCTCAACTGGGAGGACACCAGAGCACTCCTGGCTTTTGCCATCCCGGCACTGATGATTGTGGTGGTGAACGTGAGCATCACAGTTGTGGTCATCACCAAGATCCTGAGGCCTTCCATCGGAGACAAGCCAGGCAAGCAGGAGAAGAGCAGCCTGTTCCAGATCAGCAAGAGCATCGGGGTCCTCACGCCCCTCTTGGGGCTCACTTGGGGTTTCGGTCTTGCCACTGTGATCCAGGGGAGTAATGCTGTGTTCCACATCATATTTACCCTCCTCAATGCCTTCCAGGTAAGCCATATATCCAGGCATCAGGGTCTCAGGAAATGCCCGTTCTCGTGGGATGAACTAATGATAGAAACACAAACAAGAGGAGGAATGGGGAAGGGTTTGAATGCACAGGAGACCTAAGCGTCAGAAAGCAGTAATTGCAAGCACTCTGCCTCTGTGGAACCTTGAACCTTTTATCACCTGCATTATGACTAGGTTCCCAATGTCCCCATAGTACAATTAGGATGAGAGTCACCCTTCTAAACTAGATGATGCTGTTTACTCAAGATAATCTTGCCCTAGTCTTACATTTTAAGTAAGAATAGCGCTGTCACTAAGTCAAATCATGGCTCCAGCTAGTCTCTGTGAGCATCAGCAAGCTCTGGCTTTGTGAGAACAGACTTCCTGTTGGCCACTGTATCCCCCCCATCTGATACAGTGCCTGATAAAGACCTTGGTCCAAGGTAGGTTCTCAAAAGCCAATGGAAGCCATGAGTACCATGTGGTTCCCCCGGAAAACCCCTTGGAGGATTAGGGCCTTGCTTCGGCCATTTTTTTTGTTGTTTTTGGGTTGAGGCCTTTTTTTTGTTTTCCGTTGTTTTTTGTTCCTTTCCGTTGGGGGTGGTTTTTTAGATGAGCTGCAAGAGAAAGACAGGGGACAAGGAAGCATCTTGCCCCTGGGCGCTTGTGACAAAACCCTATGAGCCCCAAGTCCTACCATCGTGTGAGGAGCTACAAGTTCTTAGCTAATGGTTTTCAAGATATGCTCCCAGGGAAGGAAATATCATTCAAGGAAACATCCCATGATTGTCTTCAACATCCTAGGGGGATAAGTGAGGAATAATGTCGATTGGAGAAGTGTATTAGCATAACCCTGTTCGCAGTCAGAGGAAAACAGAAGTGATTGCCCTGGCAGCTATCGTTTAAGGCCCCCTACTGTGTAGTGTTGTATCACTTAATGTCGCCTTGTCCTGGACTCATCATACCCACTCAGAGGGGGAAAGAGGTGGGGCAGACTCAACAGCGGCTTACTAACGCTTTCTGTGGAACTGGATGATGGTGTGCCATTAAAATGCGGTCCTTAATCCTCTCCACAGGGACTCTTCATTCTCCTCTTCGGCTGCCTCTGGGATCAGAAGGTAAGAACAGAGATGGGTTCATGTGTCTGGCAAGGTCTAACATGCCCAAACGGAGTCTGTTGAATTGACACTGGTTTCTTTTAAACAATGTAGGTGCAGGAAGCCCTGCTGAATAAGTTTTCATTGTCAAGGTGGTCTTCTCAGCACTCAAAGGTAAGCCTGGTCCTGAAGAGACTTTACCCTCGTGGACTCCATTAATGCGATCCCAGGAAGTAGACTAACTCTTACCTTGGGGTTGTGGTCAGTTGGGTAAAACATAAAGAAACCCCTCTGCTTCCGTGACTAATTCCTGCTCTCTGTCATTTAGTTCCACAGAAAGCATTAGCAAGCAGATGTTAAGTCTTTCCCAGCTCTTTCCCCATTTTAGTGGATGTGATGAGTCCAGGGCATGATGATACAACAGTTACACAGTGAGAGCCTTAAATGACAGTCAGTGACTACTGCTTCTTGCCACAGTCTCTGGTTCGATGTGCCACACACATCTCTTGAAGATGTGACTCCACAGCTTTCGATGGCAGAGAATCTGAAGATGACATCTAAGCCAGAGCAGTGGTGCATATTTGGTTTTTTTTCTGTTTGTTTTTTGGTTTTTCAAGACAGGGTTTCTCTGTGTAGTTTTGGTGCCTGTCCTGGATCTCACGTTGTAGACCAGGCTGGCCTCGAACACACAGAAATCTGCATGGCTCTGCCTCCCGAGTGCTGGGATTAAAGGTGTGCGCCACTGCCGCCCGGCTGATGCATACTTGTAATCCCAGCACTCAGTAGGATCTCCGTGAGTTGGAGACCAGCCTGGGCTGCTTAGCAAGTAACCAACCCCAGGGCAACTAGGTCTAAATAGTGAGACCCTGTCTCAGAACCCAATACCAACAGCAACACTATAGAGCCCTTTAGGTGAAAATCAAATTCTCAGTGAGAAGCTTCTGGGTAGAATTCAAGGAATTAGAAAAAAACAATGTAAGAAATCATAATGAACATTTCTATAGTTCATTCTTTTAGAGTGCAACTGCTGTCCTTGAATATGATTGGCTACCTTTCATATGCCAAAAGGTACTGGAAAAAAAAAACTAACAGTAAAGTTAAAGAAAAAAAATTAAGTACAAAACATTAAGACATGTATTTAAGCAAGAATACAACTTAGCTTATGATTAGTCTGTAAAAAGAGCTAAACTGGTTTCTTAGCAAAGAAAGATAAAACAGAGAAATGGGAGGGGAGGGAGAAGGGGGAGGGAAGGATGTATGCAGAGAAGAGGAAGTAAGGGAAGAAGGAAGAAAAAAATGAGGAACAGGCAAAGAGAAAGAGGGAGGGGAAGGAGACAGGGAGGGAGAGAGGAAGAATGGGGAGGCCGGGCTGAAGAGGGAGTGAGAACGCAGCTCGTATATATTTGCGATCTCTTCAGTTCAGAGCACACCACTCGACCTAAGGGACAGCGTTAGGAACACAGGAAAGCGACCCCTAGAAGGCAGTAAGCCACCGGCCCCCCAAGAGACCCAAACAGCGCTGGTCTCCCAGACTTGCTTTGTGACTGTCTTTTCTTCCCTCTCTCTTCTAGTCAACATCCCTGGGTTCATCGACACCTGTGTTTTCTATGAGTTCTCCAATATCCAGAAGATTTAATAATCTTTTTGGTAAAACAGGTACGTAGTGACTGCTAGGTGCTCCCAGGTGGACCAGATCAGACTGGCCCTGACCTAGTACCTCTGCTTCCACCCCCATTTCCTGGCAGGGACCTCAACAACTGTGTTTAGGGTAGAGATTGAATCCAGGAACTTGCTTATATGTTCACAAGCGACCAGGAGCTTGCTAAAGAAGGGCAGCTACTCTAAACTGACAAGTAATGGAAGCTCATGAAGATTTTTAGAATCTTGACAAGCCCTAGAGATCTATCAAATAGAAACAGTATCTGCAAGTTTCTGGGCTTGTCCAGCACAGAATTCTTTGTATCATGTTAAGTAGTAGACGCATCACTTTTCTGTGTCATGCAGAGAATCAAAGTGGAAAATTTGATTACAGGATTCAGCTCAGTGTGGTTCCTCCCACTTATAGAGAAGGTTTGTTCCATACGTTGACATTTACAAACCGGGGAAACATACACGAGCCATCACCCGGGCTAGACAGTCTATTAGATAATTGTAAGTTCTACCTTGGAAATAGGAAATGAACAGTGTTAATGAGTTCACAGCTGGTCTCAGCTAATCAGAATGTAAAACCCAGTCCCAATCACTGCCTCCCACAGCACAGCCCCATCACATTGCCCTGACAGGACAGTCCTATCACACTTTTGCCCCATGCGACAGTCCCCTCACACCACCCCCATGGAGCAGTCCTGTTTACACAGACCCCTCACAACACATTTCCGTCACACTGCCCCTCCCACAAGAAAATGAGCACACACGTGCCTTCCATTTCATTTTTCTCAGTGTCGGGGATCAAATCGAGGTTCTCAAGCATGCTAAGTAAACACTCTACCATTGAGCTGCCTCCCAGCCTCATGTCCATCTCTTTAAAACCAGATCTCACAACTGCAAACTTAGATTGTGCTCTCTTCCAGACTCTGGGCGTCATACATTTGCTATCAAATATATCCGAATCTGAATATTCTGAGAAGTCCATGGAGACCGAATCCCCACTGGATATAGTGGAGAATTGGGGAATCACTCCACAAATGAGAGAATTGTCCCTTTTCACTTCAAATGTCACTAATTTGACCCCATATGAAATGACTGAGTCTTTGGAATATTATTGGACTTCCTGAGCATTTAGCATTTCCAATGAAGTGAGCAGAAATTATTAAGTAATCCGCTGAATCTGAACTTTGCAAAATATCAGGCCAATAGAATACACTCTTTAATTGTGAATGATCCGGATCTAAGTTGGGAGGTGGGCTTTGTTCCTGGGGTGTCGGGGCCTGAGGTTCCTGGTCCCCGCTCTTGCATGGGCCATCAGTACAGCCCTGCTCTGGATAATTTTTTTTTTTGGTGGGGGCTAATTCCTGTAACTTTGGTTTATGTTGTCAGCAGCCCCAAAGGTCCCCCCAGACAGTGATGGAAACCCTGTTAGCAGTGGCAGTTCATCATACTGATGGTAGGGTAGTCACTTCGGCCCTTCCCTTGCCCAGTGTGTGTTCTCTGTCTTCCTCGTGCACAGCGCCTGCCGTCTGCCCACACAAGGCTGAGCGGTCCCACCAGCTGCCCTCTCCACTCTGCTGGTCCTCGGTACTTCCGTTGGTATCTGTCACTTCTTCCCACCCTGCCTCTTCCTCCCTTACAATTATTCTTCCTTTCCCTTGTCTTCCCCTTATGAACCTTCGGCTCAATGGCTAGCTCCTTCCTACAAACTTCCCCAAATCAAGATAAACATGGGGACCAGGAAGTTTTCTTCATATAGAAGCCCCCAGCTCCATGCATGTGGGCGCTTAGGGAGAGGCTGCCCACGTTGAGATCTTCCTGTCTTGTGTGGAAATCTGGCTGCTGGTGTGTCGGGGAGTAGTTAGTGCTTGGTGGCTGCTGTGCATGCTTGAGGACAGCACTTCTGGCGTTGTTTCTCTGGCACTCTGGGTTAGGGAGGAGGGCAGGCCTGGGTTGGTTTCCAGGCATGACTGCTGGACCAGAGTGCATCTTGGTTCGTTAGAAGATGTTCACATCCCACGGTGCGTGAAAGTTTGTCTCTGAGGCTGAAATGCTGCTTTGCCTTCTTCTTTTGCAGGAACATATAACGTTTCCACCCCAGAAACAACCAGTTCGTCTGTGGAAAATTCATCCAGTGCCTATTCACTGCTTAACTAGGACCAGACAAAACCAAGTCCGCAGAGCATCTCAGAAACAGGGCACATGCCGAGAAAAGGGGCCCGTCCAAAACTCTGGGTAAAGTGTTCTCTCCGCAGACTTCTGGGGGCAGATGCTGAAGAGACTCTTTCAGTAGAGAAGACCCTTTGTTTTGTAAAGACAGACTAAAAGCAATTACTATGTTTATTTTTGTTTTCACCCCTATCCCTTATATAATGCCAAATATGTATAGTATTTAAAAGAAACCCCCTAGGGCCCAACTTTTCTATATGTATTGTAAAATAGAATTTTGAAGAGAGTTTTTGCCCCACCCCACCCCGCATTGGCCACAAATATAAGTGTTGATTGGAGTTGTAAGTAAAAGGCTAGTACTCCGGTGTTCAGGGAATTCAGGGAACAAAGGAAGGGTGAGAAAAAGGAAGGAAGGAAGGGAGGGAGGAAGGGAGGGAGGGAGGGAGAAAGGAAGGAAGGAAGGAAGGAAGGAAGGAAGGAAGGAAGGAAGGAAGGAAGGAAGGAAGGGGGGATAGTGTAGAAAACATTAGGGAGCACATTTTAAGGTTTCCACATCAAGCTCTAATATGATCACTCAGCACTGAGAATGAAAATCTATGCCTCAAAACTGGACAATGAAATCAAGTCATGGGGGACAAGCTAAGCACATTCCTGATGTTTCCCTAGTTTAAAGGGTAGAATCAAAGACAGAGGAGAAAATAGGAAGGAAATCATGCCATGCGGATGCTTCTGACTGGATGATGGTATTTGCGAGCAATGCGCCCAAGGAGATCCATGTCCTCATGACAAGGACGTGCATATGAACCTTTGCGTGTCAAGGCCTGAGCAAAGTAAGATGAGCACACAGGAAATTGGACAGCAACTCTGTCAGGTATTCAAGTATGGATTCATCTCTCATGGTTTGTCAGAAAAGCACTGTGGGAAAGTTGGTTTGACATTTTGGAAGCAATGCGTGTATCTGTACATATTATACCCAGTTACTGACAAATTTCATATATTGCACTGAACTCAGACTCCCACATGTCTTACGTGTAACAGCTTTTCCAGGTACTTTCTGTGCGTTATAGATTTTAATAACTGTGTAGTGTGTACATTTTTTTTTATTGCCGCTGTGACTTCATCCTGACTGTGGAGATGGTGGCCCCGGTGTGCTGTACAGCTTGCCATGTACTAGCTCTTCCTGGTCTCCTGTGTTTCCAGACCAATATACATCCAGAGTTTCTGTGGTCTGATTCGTGTTTATTACAGCCACTTGGAAGGCTTCTGGAGAAAAGCGTACAGTAGGCTCTTCTGTGCTATATACAACACTTTGTTTGTTCTGACTAATACTTCAGAATACAGTCCATGTGGTGGGGAGAGCGTGGCTGTGGGGCGTGAAGCCAGTCCCTCACACTGCTTGCCCCCTCGGCAGTGTGGAAATAAAGAACAGGAGGTGGGCAAGGCTGGGAGAACTCACAGCCCTCCCCCAGGGACACACTTCCTCTAGCCCGCTCTACTTCCTAAAGGTTCCATAACCTTCCCAAACAGCACCGACAACGGGGTGGGGTTGGGGGTCAAGGGTTCAAATACAGGAGCCTATGGGGGACATTTCACATTCAACAACAAGCAGCAGGCTCTTCAGGGTGGATGGGTGGGCAGTGGTGGGTTTTTGAAGGAATGAGAGCCTTTGTGTGCCCTCCATTGGAATGACGAGAGAGGAGTCTGAACTCTGCCCATCACGCATTGACTTCGATTCTAAAAGTTTTATTTTTAATACTTTTAAGTACATTAAATCTCTTCCTTTTAGTTCTAAGCTTAAATTCTACTTCTCTGTTCATCACAGAGGAAGAGAGAGGTGGGACGTACAAAGTCCCATCCAAATTGAGTTTCGTTTCTACACTAATGCCACAGATATCTTGTGTAAGAACTTGAGTAAGAACCAACACACACCTGCCCCAACTTAATGGCTCATTATTCAAAGTCCTTCCAAGGAACAAATGTTGGTATGCAGATGTGGATGAGTTCTCCAGGGAATCTTCAAGGCAGGGCAGAGTTCAGCAGAGAGAAAAGAGAGATGAGTCTAAGATGAGGCCTCCTTTGCAATAGAATCGGGTACTAGAGAAAGAATGACTTGGACTGATTTAGATTCAGGAGCACTGACTGAGCCCGGGTGTTTCACAGCATGACGGGGCAGCCTTGACATGAGAGAGGCACAGCACCAGGGAAGGCTGGGGCCGTGGTGCCCAGGGAACACTGAACTCTGGCCCACTTCATTGGTGCCCCCTTGGGAGCCATTGGGCTTGACCTTGTGAAGAGAACCTCCATGACGGCTATTATAATAGCAGGAACTTGCAGCTGAATTCCATAGGATGTGGATCTGGCCCTCCGCCTGCTTTCATGAGCAGAGACACGTTTCCCTGTCACCAGGGCGCATGCCCACAAACTCTAATGCACACACAAATTCATACACAGACCCCACAAACTGGCATAGGCACAGAAACATGTGTGCACAGACATGCACACACACACACACACACACACACACACACACACACAGGCTCATGTGAACACACACTGACACCAGTGTGTCACAGGCATACATGTACCCATCTCTGTCTCAACTGAATGGCTCATTATTTAAAATTCCCTAGAGGAAGTTTGTTAGTTTGTAAATGCAAGATTCAGCAGGGGGCCATTCATCTTGGGGCAGACACATACACATTCACACCAGCATGAACAAACACAGAGTCCCCTCAGTCTTTCAAGGCCCAGCACTGGATTCCAGGAAAGGCAGTTGGAGATACGGCTTGGTGCTTGAGAATGCATACTGCTCTTACAGAGGAATCCCAAGTTCGGTTCCCGGCGGCCACGTTGGGCAGCTCACCGCCACCTCTAACTCCAGCTGAAGGGAATCTGCTGCCCTCTTCTTGACTTTGAGGGTACTTACATGTGCCTATCCCCCCTCCCTGACACACATGTTTACACATAATTAAAGTTTTAAAAAATGAATTCCAGAAAATCCGTGTGACAAAACGCTGAAGGAGTGCTTAGTGGTTTTCCTCTCACCACCCCACACTGACATTTCTAAACAATAAAGTAAATGGAGTCTCCAAAATCGCAAAAGATGGAAGCACACAGTTCTGTGCATTGCGTGAAAGCCAGAGACTGCACCCGGTTCTGGGGCAGCAAGGGGCACTAACTGTGGCAGAGAAGGGTGTCCAGTGCCACAGGTGCCACATGAAGCCTGTTCACTTTGCTAAGAGAGCGCTCCCGCCTGCCTGTATTCCATATGCTCTGTGTCTTTTATTGTGTGAAGTAAATTCATGGGCTCCAGCTTTCTTTCCACAATGGACTTTCTATTAAGGCAGTTTCTTGCAAAAGAATCTATGCCAATGTTTCAGGGGTTGTGAAGTTGGAGGATCCAAAACCACACAATTAGTGCACAGCAATGTCCTTGGGGACTGCTCTAAAGATCACCCAGCATCTCCCAGGGCATAGGTCACTAAGGGAGGAAAAGAAGAAATGCCCTGGGAAGCCAGAACCTTTTGTGCTTTGTGCAGGGCCCTCCAGAGAGGTCTGTGTCTGAAGAAAATGTACACGGAGATAAGAAAGAATACAGCAGCCAGTCAGTGAGGAGAGAGACACAGGGGAGTTAATCCCAGGTGAGGGGAGCAGTAAGTTGCAGCCAGTTAGGAACACAGAAGAAAATTACATGAGCTGTTTATGCAGGGAGAGAGTGTTAGATCTGTGACATGTAGAAGTGCCATGATATGGGGCCCTTGCACCCCCAAAAGAAACCAGAGACCCAGGCCAATAGAAGCCTGGTTCCTTGAGAGTCCACAAGGGAGGCACTTAGGGTGAGCATCTTTTTCTCACTTTTAAACAGAAATAGCATTTCTATTGCAATCAGATGCCATGGGTTTCTAGAATTATGACTCAGAGTTTAAAATCATGTCCTACTAATATGTCAGTGTATGGCGATGCTTCCTTTCCTGATAATAAAATAGCTAATGGTGTGCCAAGCTTTCTCTGTATAAATTGTCCATTTTTCAGTCGAGTGCCGCCCCAGCTGCTGCTGCGTATCGGCCAGAACCCAATCGCACTCCCCAAGCCCAGTGAGGCCTTCCATTTTCCAGCTGCAGAGGATGCCAGAGGCTCACAGCTGAGCTCAGGCAGGGCCAGAAGCTTCTGTCACACCCTCCACACTCCCAGGAACGTGGTGATGATCCAGCGCCATCCCCGGAGTTTAAACGGGGTCCTTGAAGCAAAGCGTCAGAACCTAAACATCTAGGAAACAAATCCACTCGTGTCTGTTCCAACATGTGTGATTCAGTTGGCTGAAGCTAGATCCCTCGGGCCCTAGAAATACCTTGTAGCACATTCTAGAAGGAGCTGAAGTTGGTAAGGCTCCCCCTTCCTGTGGCGTGGGCAAAGGCCACAAGAAGAGGGCAGGTAGACCCAATGACTGAAGTCTACTTTGAGCAAACACCTGCTATTCATTTCCAAAGGCCACTGCAGTATCACAGTGGCCACCAAGGGCCTCAAAAAAACCAAGGGGTTCTTCCCTCACAGCCCAAACCCTGCTTATGGAACCCCTGGCAAAGCTAAAACCGGAAGTGACATAGTCCAGCCCTTCCAGACAGGCTGCCGAACGGGATTTGAGGAAGCCAATAATCGTACTGGCTCCCATTGCCACCCTTGATAAACTGAGAAGAGACAGGTCGTCGTCCGCCCGCCCCCCCCCGCCCCCCTTCACAAACGGGACCAGGCAGGAGCTATGGGAATCTGTTCCCATCCCAAGGCCTTTATTCTTTAACCCAGAGCCAAGTGAAGTATGCTGGCAACCATGACAGATTAAACATAACCACCCCAGGAATCTAGCGGGGGGGGAGTGGGGGGCTTATTCTCAGCATGAAAGGCAACAGGAACCAGTTGGGCAAGGCCTGGGGAGGTGGCTGTCACAGCCCACTTCCGACAGCGCTGGACAACGGAGTCCAAGAATGTCTTCATGCTTGGCCTCTCTGGGAGCGATTCTGATGAGTGCCGTCTCCTGTCCCCATCCTGCCAGTCAGCAACCCCGCCCCCCGCCCCCCGCCCCCGCAGTTGTGGAAAGAAGTGTTTGATTTTGATTAACCGAGGAAAATTGTTACATCCATTTGCTGTGTTTTTTTTTCTGGAACCGTGAGTGTTTTCCCACGCCCCAGAGCTCTTTCCCAGCTGTCTGAATCAGCATCCTCGCGGGCATCTCCAGCTGGGCTAACCAGTGACAGCTGGCCTCAATGGCCCGGGCTCCAGCGCGCCCTATTCGCGTCGCCCGGAGCTTGATCGCCACCTGGTGGGCATTAGAGGATGTGCTGCTTTTGAGGGGCTCAGAGCCTCACTTTTGAGGGGCTCAGGGTCCTCGCTGGACAACCCACAGTGATGGAACTTGGGTCACCTTAACAGGATGAAGTCCGAGGCTGCAGACGTGCGGGATGAAGGAATCACTCCCCTTCTCACCTCCTCCCACCTCTTCCCACCCCATGACATTATGATCCTGGCAGGGACCGGTCAGGAAACACACCGAAGTGTGGACACGTACAGTTGAACTGTGCATAGGGAATTTGCAGGTGGGTCCGTTTTTTACATACACGATGAGGAATAGCTCCCTTCTGCCTTTTGTTTCCTCCTTTATAAATTAGCGAAAGCTAATTTATGTAACCAATCAAAGCTAAAGGCAGCCCCGGAAGCGATGACCCGCTCTGCCCCACCCCTTTACCACGAGGTAAAGGGATGCTGGCAGGCATGCTGGCATCCCCGCATCCCCTTGCCCTTCCAAACAGGTTTCTGAAAGGTATTTTAGGAAGCAGAATGGGAGCCTTTCCATGTTCCATGAGAACAAACTTTCTCCATGAGTGAGGCTGTAAAACGATTGATTTGGATTCTTCTTTTTCCATTTCCAACTCACCTATGGAACTGTTCTATTCAACCACAAAAAAGAGCGTAGTTTACGTCATTTGGGGAAAACTAGATGGAAGTAGAGATGGTTGTGTTATGAAAGGTAAGCTTAACCCAGGAAAAGACAACCATTTATATTGAACACACACACACACACACACACACACACACACACACACACACACACGTAAATAGAATGGAGACTGTTAGGGGAGAGGAAGAGAGAAGCAGGGAACAGAAGTGGGAAGGAAGAAGGAGGTAATAGGGTGAATACAGTCATAGTGCATGGTAATCTTGACTAAAATGCCATT